TAGTATGACTTCAAAACTGGTGTAAAATGACACATACTATAGTATGACTTCCAAACTGGTGTAAAATGACACAAAATATAGTATGACTTCCAAACTGGTGTAAAATGACACATACTATAGTATGACTTCCAAACTGATATGACACTTGCTATAGTATGACTTCCAAACTGATGACACATACTATACTATGACTTCCAAACTAATGAAAAATTACACAAAGTATGTATGACCCCACCATGGGCTACCACCTTACCATGGTGGAGGGGTTTGAGTGTCCCAATGATCCTAGGAGCTATGCTGTCAGGGGCTTTACGCCCCTAGTAGAGTCACCCAAGGCAGACAGGTCCTAGATGAGGGACCAGACAAAGTGCAGCCCAAAGACCCCGATGATGAGACAAATAAATGGACCTAGTGTTCCCTCGCCCAGACGTGGGTCACTGGGGCCCCACTCTGGTGCCAGGCCTGGAGGTGGGGCACGCATGCGAGCACCTGGTGGCCGGGCTTTTACCCATGGAGCTCGGCCGGGCACAGCCTGAATTGGAGACGTGGGTCCCCCTTCCCATGGGCTCACCGCCTGAGGGAGGGGCCAAAGGGGTCGGGAGCAATGTGGGATGGGTGGTGGCCAAGGGCGGGGACCCTGGCGGTCCGATCCTTGGCTGCAGAAGCTGGCTATTGGGACGTGGAATGTCACCTCACTGGTGGGGGAAGGAGCCTGAGCTGGTGTGTGAGGCTGAGAGGTTCCGGCTAGAAATAGTTGAACTCACCTCTGTGCATGGCTCTGGCTCTGGAACCAGTTTCCTTGAGAAGTCGTACTGGAAAGTGCACCTCCGGGGAACTCCCTTTTTCTGCTGGGGGACTTCAATGCTCGCATGGGCAATGACAGTGAGACCTGGAGGGGTGTGGTTGGGAGGAACGCCCCCCCGATCTGAATCCGAGTGGTGTTCTGTTGTTGGACATCTGTGCTCATCATGGATTGTCCATAACGAACATCATGTTCAAGTATAAGGGTGTCCATATGTGCTCTTGACACCAGGACACCCTAGGCTGCAGTTCGATGATCGACTTTGTCGTCGTCTCATCTGATCTGCTACCACATGTCTTGGACACTCATGTGAAGAGAGGGGTGGAGCTGTCCACTGATCACTACCTGGTGGTGAGTTGGCTCCGATAGTGGGGGAATGCAGGTCAGACCTGGCAGACCCAAACGTATTGTGAGGGTTTGCTGGGAACATCTGGCAGAGTCTCCTGTGAGGCGGAGTTTTAACTCCCACCTCCGGGAGAACTTCGAACATGTTCTGGGAGAGGTGGGGGACATTGAGTCCGAGTGAGCCATGTTCCATGCCTCTATTGTCGAAGCGGCTGACAGGAGCTGCAGCCGCAAGGCCTGTCGTGGCGGCAACCCTCAGACCCGGTGGTGGACACCGTCGGTGAGGGATGCTGTCAGGCTGAAGAAGGAGTTCTATTGGGCCTTTTGGCCTGTGGGACCCCGGAAGCAGCTGATGGGTACCGACAGTCCAAGCGACATGAGGCTCGGGTGGTCGCTGAGGCAAAAACTCGAGCATGGGAGGAGTTCGGAGAGGCCATGGAGAATGACTTCCACACGGCTTCGAGCCAATTCTGGTCCACCATCCGGCATCTCGGGGGGGAAAGCGGTATGCCACCAACACTGTTTGTTCTGGAGAGGAGGGTCCGTCTGATAGTCGAACCTCGGATTCAGGAGGAGCAGTGCGGTTTTGGTCCTGGCCGTGGAACACTGGACCAGCTCTACACTCTCAGTAGGGTCCTGGAGGGTGCGTGGGAGTTTGCCCAACCAGTCTACATGTGCTTTGTAGACTTGGAGAAGGCGTTCGACCGCGTCCCTTGGGGAACCCTGTGAGGGGTACTCTGGGAGTATGGGGTACCGGACCCTTTGATTCGGGCTGTTAGGTCCCTGTATGACCGGTGTTAGAGCCTGGTCCGCATTGCCAGCAGTAAGTCGGGCTTGTTCCCAGTGAGAGTTGGACTCCGCCAAGGTTGCCCTTTGTCACCGATTCTGTTCATAACTTTTACGGACAGAATTTCTAGGTGCAGCCAAGGTGTTGAGGGGATCCGTTTTTGTGGCCTTAGGATTGCTTCTCTGCTTTTTGCAGATGATGTGGTCCTATTGGCTTCATCAGATCATGATCTACAGCTTTCGCTGGAGCGGTTCGCAGCCGAATGCGACGCGGCCGGGATGAAGATCAGTTCCTCCAAATCCGAGGCCATGGTCTTGAGCTGGAAAAGGGTAGAGTGCCCTCTCTGGGTCAGGGAGGAGGTCCTGTCCCAAGTGGAGGAGTTCAAGTATCTTGGGATCTTGTTCACAAATGAGGGAAAAATGGAACGTGAGATCGATAGGTGGATAGGTGCAGCGTCTGCAGTGAAGCGGGCGCTGTACAGGCCTGTCGTGGTGAAAAGAGAGCTGAGTCAAAAGGCGAAGCTCTCAATTTACCGATCGATCTACGTTCCTACCCTCATCTATCCAGGAGGAAAGGTGAAAGAATGAGATCTCGGATACAAGCGGCCAAAATGAGTTTTCTCAGCAGTGTGTCTGGGCTCTCCCTTAGAGGTAGGGTGAGAAGCTCGACCATCCGGGAGGGACTCAGAGTAGAGCCGCTGCTTCTCCATGTCGAGAGGAGCCAGTTGAGGTTGCTCGTGCATCTGTTGAGGATGCCTCCTGAACGCCTCCCTGGTGAGGTTTTCCGGACACATCCCACCGGGAGGAGGCCCAGAGGAAGACCCAGAACACGCTGGAGGGACTATGTTTCTCGGCTGGCCTGGGAACACCTCGGGTGTCACGTCACTTTCTGTTATGAGTTAGGCTTAAAGGTAATATTCTTATTTTTAAACATGCACTTCAGTGTCACCATTGTTTAGCACAACGGCAAGTTGTGTTACAAATAAAACTAAATAAAAAAATAAAATAAAAGTCAAGTGCACCCCTAAAGTCATTGTTTGTGATGAAGGTGTCACATTAATTTCATTATCTCAGCCACAGGAGTGAGTTTAAAACAAGACGAAGCAGATATGGACTAGTTGAAGGTGGTGTCTCTGAAATACTGAATCAAGTTTTTACATTTGTAGGTAAACATAGATGTTTAACAACATGTATGCTCTCAGGCTGCAGGCTTACTTGTGGTTCCTAGAGTTTCCAAAAGAAGAATGGGAGGAACATGTTTCAGTTATCAGGCTCCTCTTTTGTGGAACCTACTTCCAGTTTCTGTCCATGAGGCTGACACATTGTCCAGTTTGAAGACTGGGATTAACACTTTCAATTTTAATAAATCCTATAGTTAGGGTTGGCTTGGGGGCTTGGGTTTCCTGAGCTATACCTTAGTTCTGCTGCTATAGACTTGGACTGCTGGAGGACAAACTGATCACATTTCCTCTCTGCTGCTGTCTTTACTTACTCTACCCTACCTGTCTGTATTTGTGATAATTTCTATTTTAACATGTTTTTGTCTGTCCTCCTATAGGAAGTACACCTGGACTATAAAAAGTACACCAGGACTACAGAAAGTGCACCTGGAAAACAGAAAGAACACCGGGCCTATATAAAGAACACCTGGCATATACAAAGTACACTTGGCCTATAGAAAATACACCTGGACTATAGAAAGTACACCTGGACTATAGAAAGTACACCTGGACTATAGAAAGTACACCTGGACTATAGAAAGTAC